TGGGGAGCCGGAGCGCACCATGGAGGCGGCGGCGGGCGGCCGCGGCGGCTTCCAGCCGCACCCGGGGCTGCAGAAGACGCTGGAGCAGTTCCACCTGAGCTCCATGAGCTCGCTGGGCGGCCCGGCCGCCTTCTCGGCGCGCTGGGCGCAGGAGGCCTACAAGAAGGAGAGCTCCAAGGAGGCGGGCGCGGCTGCGGTGCCGGCGCCGGTGCCCGCGGCTGCCGAGCCGCCGCCGGTGCTGCACCTGCCCGCCATCCAGCCGCCGCCGCCCGTGCTGCCCGGGCCCTTCTTCATGCCGTCCGACCGCTCCACAGAGCGCTGCGAGACAGTGCTGGAGGGCGAGACCATCTCGTGCTTCGTGGTGGGCGGCGAGAAGCGCCTCTGTCTGCCGCAGATCCTCAACTCGGTGCTGCGCGACTTCTCGCTGCAGCAGATCAACTCGGTGTGCGACGAGCTGCACATCTACTGCTCGCGCTGCACGGCCGACCAGCTGGAGATCCTCAAAGTCATGGGCATCCTGCCCTTCTCGGCGCCCTCGTGCGGGCTCATCACCAAGACGGACGCTGAGCGCCTGTGCAACGCGCTGCTGTACGGCGGCGCCTACCCGCCGCCCTGCAAGAAGGAGCTGGCGGCCAGCCTGGCGCTGGGCCTGGAGCTCAGCGAGCGCAGCGTGCGCGTGTACCACGAGTGCTTCGGCAAGTGCAAGGGGCTGCTGGTGCCCGAGCTCTACAACAGCCCGAGTGCCGCCTGCATCCAGTGCCTCGACTGCCGCCTCATGTACCCACCGCACAAGTTCGTGGTGCACTCGCACAAGGCCCTGGAGAACCGGACCTGCCACTGGGGCTTCGACTCGGCCAACTGGCGGGCCTACATCCTGCTCAGCCAGGACTACACGGGCAAGGAGGAGCAGGCGCGCCTCGGCCGCTGTCTGGACGACGTCAAGGAGAAGTTCGACTACGGCAACAAGTATAAGCGGCGGGTGCCCCGGGTGAGTGTCCCGCGCCACGGCTGGGCCCGGCGAGTGAGTAGGAGGGCGGGCTGCGGAGAGGGTGGGGGTTCCTCCTGGGTCAGGGGCTCTGCCTCCCCTACACGTCTCAGGGTTTGGTTTGGTTTTAAGGAAATTTGGGGTGGCGTTGGCGTCCCCGTAGATGGCCATGTATCTGGGAGGAAGGTCCTCCTGTCCGACTCCTAGGACAAGCCGCTTGCCTGGTTGGGGGCCTCGAGGGCTGGCCAGGGTGGGTGAAGCCTTCCTGAGGCCCATAGCCGGTGCCCAGCTGGGCCGGGAGGGGCAGGCTTCAGACCTCGGACTCTTCTGCCCTGAGTCCCGGGAAGTTTGATCCCGGCCGCGCCCAGGTTGGAGCCGGCAGCCCAGGCCTTCCTGGGGCCGAAGGAGGTGTCCAGGCCGAGTTGGTGGAAGGGACCTGCCCTGGCCCTAACGCTCCCGGGCTGGCACACAGAGGGGCGCCTGCCCCTGTGTCCTAGCAGGCAGAATTTGGCCAGGCAGGGCCTGTTTGTGCCTTGAAGGTTTGGGAGACAGACACTAAACCGAAGCCAGGTGTTCGGGCCGTGGTGGCAGGGGGCCGAGACTCGGCGACTCCAGCTCTGTGTGTCTGCCCTGGCCTGCCAGGGAGTGAATCCCAGAGTCCCCCGTGCGGGGGCGAGGGCCACTTGGCACTGGGCTCGGGGACTGGTCAGCGGGCACCCGGGGCCCCGAGTGTCAGGGTAGCCGCCGGCCTGCGATTTGTTTTGGATGCGCACGTTTCCTTCTCTCCTTTCCTCTGAAACGCTGAAGGGCGCCGCGGGGAAGGGCCGCTGGCCTAGTCCCTGTTGTTTGCCAGACGGAGGATCTGTGTGATCCAGCCTGGCAGCTCCCGGGCCACTCGACGCCGAAACCATTCAGTGGGGTCCACGCTAACTTTCTGTGACATCTCCCCCTCTCCCCGAGTATTTGTAACTTTTCTTTTAAATATCCAGGCTTATTAAATTGCACACACAGAATGCTGCATTGGCTCAGCTATTCTTGGGAGGCCTAATTAATTCAGCTATTGCATCAAACTTTTTTTTTTCCAAATCTGTGAATAGATGCTCCCGCCCGGTTTTCTCTGGGCGCCCCTCCAGCGGAGTGTCAGAGTCTCAGGGAGCGGAGGAGGGGAGGGGAAGTGAGGGCCTGTCGCCTGCGCTCAGAGGGGGCCACCGTGTGCGTTTGTGGATTTGTGGTGTTTCTGCCCTTGGCTAGGCTGGCGCCCAGGTGGCAGCTGTCTGCAGACTATGGGGCTGGGATTGGGCGGGAGGGACAGTCTGAGTGGGCAGCGCCGGTGGGGGAGTATGTTGATGGGAACGGCCGGTGGCGGATCCCAGCAGGCTGGCCGGGCCCTTCGTTTTAGACTGGGAGCTGGCTCTGGGTGGCGTGGTGGGTGCTCCCTGCACGCTGGGGGCCTTTCTGTTTGGGGTGCCCGCCCCCTCGACAGCCATCGTGGCCCGAGGGAGCCCCGTGTGCAAGATGGTCGTGGGTTCTGGCCGACTGGGGAAGCCCGTGGTGGGTAAGCTCGTGGTGGGTCACTTAGCCCAGGGTGGAACGCAGAGGGGCTTGTCTCACAGGGTGTGTGTCTGTGTCTGTGTCCGAATCTGGGTCGTGTATGTTTGTGGCTGTCTTCCTGGGGTGGGCTCTTTATTGCAGCTGCAGGTCTGGGCCTCAGCCCTCTTGCAGCAGGTTCTGCTCTTCTGGACATGGGTGTCCGTAGGCTCAGCTTGTGGGCCCAGGGACTGCCAGGTGAGAAGGCAGGACCATCCCCTGAGCCACAGTCCCAGAGAAGAGGTCAGAGGGGGCTTTTGTGCCCGGTGATTTCAACAGATGGTCAGCGCCACTCTTCCTCCTTCTGTGCTCCCCCCAGCGCCGCTCAGAAAGCTCATTCACCGGTTAAAAAAATCTCCCCAGTGATGACGAAGATGTGATCGCTGTAAGTGGTTGTTGGGGTCCCCAGGCCGAAGTGTCAGTGCGGCCTATCCTCGCAGTGGTGGTATGGGCTGGCGGTCCGGTGTCCCTCCTTCCGGGCCTCGGCCGTGTGGCTGGCTGGCCGCTCACACGCTCCTGTGCCTTCCTGCCACTCCTGCACCTCGGGGGGCACTCCTCCCTCTGGCCTCGCCGCCTATCCTGTTCCCGGGACTCTGCCCACTGCCTTCTCTCTGTGACTATGCGGTTGGGAATTCTGGGGTGTGTGGTCCTTTCCAGAAGTCGCCAGCACAGCCTGTCTACATGCCAGGGACACCCCCCCCCCCCTGAGAAGAGGGGGGTTCGGGTCTGAGCCTCAGGATCAGGGGGACCCATGGCTGCCAGACCCTGCTTGTTCTGGAAGAAGCGGCCTGGGAAGACCCCCTCCCGGCGCCCTGCCCACCTCTGTTCACCCCTCCCACTCCCTGCTCGACAAATTATTCACGGGTTGTGTTTTGATTTCTTCACTTTTCTCGTAGTTTATTTTAATGTTTTTGATCTCCCAAGGCTGAGGGCAGAAAGGAACAAAGAGTGTGCTGGCACCACTCTTTGTGGGGGCCTTGGGTGCCGGGGCCATGAAGTGAGCCGAAGTGTGTTCCAGGGGCTGGGAGCCTAGGGGTCGCCCGGGTCTCCTGCCAAACGGAGGCCCGCGTCCTCTGCCATCAGCAGTGGGCGGGGGCCAGGGACTCTTGTGGGGTCCTGGTGCCCAATGGCCTTCGCTTGCCCTGCTGTGCCTGCGGCCTGACCACGGTGGGGCGGCAATCCCAGTGTGGGACCGAGTGAGGGGGGGTGGGTCTCCAACCTGAGTTGGAAACCCTTGAAGATGGCACGTCCACGTGTGCCAGCCGGGGCCCTCCTCAGTGATGCCCCGCACGCCACGGGGGCCCCAAGGACGTGCTCTCGGCCGTCCCACGGCTGTCAGGGCTGCCTGGGCCCCGGCTGCTGTCCTTGGTGTTCCGCGCTGGGCGGGTCTGAATGTGGAGCCCCACGGGGCTGCTCCCATGTCCTCGCCCTGTCCCTCACTCCGTTCCTCACTAGCTGCCTGACCTTGAGCAAGTTTGCCTCAGTTTCCTCACTTGTGAAAGGGGGACTGTAGTAAGTAGCAGCCATTGGCAGTGTTTTTTGGGGGGTGTTTAAGTGATGAGGTCATAGGCGGGGCGAGGACGTGTCCTTTTGCTGCTGGGAACGTGTGGCGAGGAGATGGGGGCCTCAGAGCCTTCCCACGGTCCCCTCCCCTTTTCTTCTGCCCAGTCGGCTCTATCCCTTATCTGATGGCGTTTGAACCAAACCGGACTGGTGTTTTAACGGTACGGCTGCTATTAGTCATGGCGGGACGTTGGTGCTGCCAGCCTGGCTGCTGCCTGGGACGCACCCCTCGTTCTGCGGGAGGGCTTCTCGCAGGCCGAGCAGGCGGCGGGGCGGGGGTGTGCTGTCTCCCTGGGGCTGGAGCCTGGCCGGTCCTTGTGTGGTTAAGAAACGGGCTCCTGGGAACTGCTGTGCCTTCGGAGGGTCCCACTTCTCAGACTGGAGACCGGGGATGGTGTCGCTCGCTGGCCTCTGCCCTTCAGACGCTGAGTCCTCGCAGGAGTCTTCTTTGTAGAATTGCCTGCACACCAGGGACTCGTGGGCCGATGGTCACCGTGGTATGTGGTGTAAGCGTCCACGGTGCGGTCTGTCTAAATTCCTAGCACTGGAACAGTTTCCCTGCGTCACCTGATGACGGCTCTCTAGTCAGAGAGTAGTGTTTTCTCAAAGTAGAGACCCGGCCGGGCTGTTGGCGTGGAGGAGTGTTGAGTCTCTTGGTCTCTGTTGCGGATCGGCTGTGGCTGTGGTGGAGGGAGATCTGGGCCTCTAAGCGGGCTGTGTGTTATGCATTCAAGCCGAAATGGCCACGGGAGGGAATGGAATCAGGAACGTGCGACAGACTGGAAGGGGCTCTGGCCAGCATGCCTTTCCCGGCACTCCCTCTTTCATGGGGGGCTGTGCTCGCCGGATGCCGTCAGGTTTGGCCATAGATGTAGAGGTTTGGCTGTCCTGTTTTTTTTTTTAAGATATTTATTTCTTTACCTGTGTACCTCTCTATTTATCTGTCTATCTGTTTTTTTTGGCTGCATCGGGTCTTAGTTGCGGCAGGCATGCGGGATCTAGTTCCCTGACCAGGGATCGAACCTGGGCCGCCTGCATTGGGAGCGGGTATCTTAGCCACTGGACTGCCAGGGAAGTCCCTCAGCTGTCCCTTTGTCCACTTGTTTTGCTCGAGGTTTTCATGGGGCTTCATGGTGATTTCCTGGCTTTGGATACTCAGCTGAGAAGGCGGGGTGCCATCGGGTGATGTTGTGAGGCCAGGCTCCTGGACGGGCCCTGCCCCTTGTGCAGGAGGACAGGTCTGCGAGTCGGTCTGGTCCTCAGCGCGAAGGCCCCAGAGTGAAGGCCGGGGCCTTGTCAGAAGGGAAACAGCAGCTTGCGGAGCCTCTGGTTGCTGCCCTGAGCCCTGTGGTCAGCCGTGTGTGAGGGAGGAAAGACATGGGGGGCTGGCCCTCAGTCTCTGTGCAGCGAGCGGGCCACGTCTGCCCGTCTTCAGCCATCCTGCCAATGTCCAGGACGTCTCTTTGGAGCTGGGCGGGCCCCTCGTCTCTTTGGGGGCAGCAGGGTCCTTGAGTGGCCCTCGCCTCCGACCCTCCTGCCCCCTGGGACCCCTCAGTCGGCGCGGGGCTTCGAGAGTAGGGCCAGTGGCTCCCACGCTTCGTTGCAGCACGTCTGGGTACCGTCTGTCTGAGATGCCAGGCGAGGCCCATGAGGAAGTCTGGGGAGGGTGACCGCCGGGCGCCGGGAGGGCCTGGGGGAGGCGGTGCTTCCGGGCCCTGCGCGCCGGCTGTCTGGCGGGAGGTGTCCGTGGCCGGTGGCCGGACTCTCTGTGGCCCGGAGACTGTTACACAAGCAGCAATAATGTGTCTCTTTCTAAGGATTGCGAAAGTTGGGGAGGATTTCTCCACTGGAAGAATTAT